ACCCACAGCAGATGGAATACGCCCTAATAAAGCTGATACTTCCGAACAAGCTTAAGTAAATCTAAAAATATTATCTACAAACAACAATACATCCTTTTTATTATATATATATATATATATATATATATATTTATATATATATATATATATATATATATATATTTTATGTTATATTTTACTTTTCCTTCTTCATCTCTAAAATATTCAGCGACAGTTAATCCAGTTAATCCTACTCTAGCTCTAGCACCTGGTGGTTCATTCATTTATCCATAAATAAGTGCACATCTAGATTCATTATTATCTAAACTAATAACTTTCGAAGCAATCATTTCATGATAAAGATCATTTCCTTCTCTAGTTCTTTCTCCTACTCCTGCGAAAACTGAATAACCACCATGATGTCTAGCTACATTGTTAATAAGTTCTTAAATAAGTACTGTTTTTCCTACTCCAGCTCCTCCAAATAGTCCAATTTTACCACCTCTGGCATATGGAGCTAATAAATCAACTACTTTTATACCAGTAACCAATATTTCAGCTGCTGCAGCTTAATCAGTAAAAGAAGGAGCATCTCTGTGTATAGGATAATGTTTCACAGTATTAATAGGGCCTCTTTAATCTATTGGTTCTCCAATAACATTCATAATTCTGCCTAATGTTTAGGGACCAACAGGTACACAAATAGGACTTCCTGTATCTACAACACTCTAACCACGGACTAAACCTTCAGTACTATCCATTGCAATTGTTCTAACACGAGAATCGCCTAAATGTTGTGCTACTTCTAATACTAAACGATGTTAGGTTCCTTAAACTTCCAAAGCATTTAATATTTAAGGAAGCTCGCCTTCAAATTATACATCGACGACGGCACCAATAACTTAAGATACCTAACCTAATGAGGTTTTTTTTGGGACTTATTCTTATTTAGTTGCAAAGCCTTTTTATAATTATTTATTAATGATTGTTTATTTTTTTTTGTTTTTTAGTAATCATGATAATGTATTTTATTGGTTAAATAATTTTTTTTATGTTTATATTTTATTTTTATTTTTTTTAGATATTTTTTACATCTTGTTAATACTCTTTAAACTGTTTTGGATAACATTTCTTTTTATTTATAATTTAAATATCTTTTAATATATATTAAAATTTTTTTATTATTATTTTTTTCTTTTATTTGATAAATATTATTTTATTTCTCATATAATTATTGTAAATTAAAAAATATATAGTTAATGTATATTTATATTAATTTAATTTTTTTTTTCTTTGATAAATAAAAATAAAAACTACACATAAATAAAAAAATTTCTTATTAAAAAATAAAATTATAAAATTTAAATTTTGTTTAATTAAAATAAAATATTAAAGAATATAGAGTTAATAAATAAATATTATAAATTTTATTATTATTTTTATATTTATTATTTATATATAAAAGTAAAAAATCATATTCTAATAATTTATAATTTTTTTTTATATATACTTAAAAAATATTAAATGATATATGAAAATATTCTTTTTCTGTATTCAAAAATAAATTAAAAAAACAAAAATTAATATTTATATATTTATTGCTTTATTTTAAAGATTAATATTTTATTAAAAATTCAAAAATAAATAACTATTATATTAATTATATTAATATTAAATGTAAATTACCATAAAATATAAATAATGAATTTATGAAAAATTTACTTTATAAAAGATTTATATTATTTAAAAGAAAAAACTAATCAAATAGAAATGTATTAAGCAAAATATAATATTTTTATTGATATTTATAAAGGAAATATATTTTATATTTAAATAGAAATATTAAAAATAAATATAGAATGTATATATATTATTATTTGCAAAGCAATAATTATACATTAATTAAATAATTTTTAATATAATAATTAGAAATAAAATTAATTATTAATTTTCATATATCATTAGTAATATTATAATTATTACTCAAAATTTACATTTATTCATTATATATTTTTAAAGATTTTTATTTAAATAAAAATTATTGATTGTTTCTATAAAACATTTTTAATAAATAAATATATATATATTATTTTATAATTAAAATATATATATATATATATATATATATATAAGGAATATCTTTTATTTAAAATAATACACTATATATTTAAATATGTATTTTAATTTAATATAATTTTTATTAACATATTTATTTTATATAAATTAAATATATTTTAATAAAAATTATGAAATTTAAAATACTATTATTTACTATATTAATTCCTACAATCATATCTTTATAATTTACTTGTATCCGTAACCTTTTAGAAAATTAAAAAATTTCCTGCGACAATGACAGTGATTGTCCTTAATTTTACTTATGTTCAGACATGTAATTATGTGAAAAAAAAGGTATATTTCCCCTCACATCTATCGAATTAATAGGAAGTATACTTTTAATATTAGGAGTAGGAGCAGGATAAGCTGCCGGAATAGGCGGTGGACTTATAATAATTCCAATTGTAATCCAATTTTTCGGTATGGATACTAAAAAAAGCGTAGCTATAGTTTTCGTGATAATATTTAGTGCTTCATTTGGTAATTTGATAATGTTTTCAAAAAAGAAATCTGAACGCGGAGATCCCTTAATTGACTACAAACTAATACTAATATCCCTTCCTGCTGTTTTTGTAGGTTCTACATACGGAGTTTAGATAAATTAATTGATTCCATAAGCATTTATATGCCTAACATTGATATATTTTATTATATAAAACACTAAAAAATGTATTAACCAATATAAAAAATAAAAACAAAAAGAAATTGAAGAAAGCAAAAATAATAATGAGAATAAAAAAATAACTTTAATATTAGATTTAATAGAAGGATGTAAATCTCCTGAATTGAAAGAAGCTTTAATTTCCTAAACTGAACTTTATCCAAAAAAATAATTTCTTTTATTTTTTAAGTAGCCGCTTTTTTTATAATATGTAGTCTAATAAGAGGAAGTAAAAAATTTGAAAGTATTATTGGAATTCCTATTTGTGGATTTCTTTATTGGATTTTTACTTTTTCTTTATTTTTCATATAATATATACAAACTAAGTTTTTAAAATTTTCTCATGAAAGAAGATTAACGTAAATTAGAACTAGGTATAAATAAATACTATTTATTATAATTTTTTCATATATAAATTATTTATATTATTTCTGTATTTAATAGGTTATTAATTTAGAAAAGGTGAATAAACTCTTCCTGAAAATGTTAAAATGTTTTCTTTTATGTCTTTTTATGCAGGTGTACTTGGATCAATAATTGGTTTAGGTGGAGGAATGATATTAGTTCCTAAATGGCTTGAATTAGGCATTTCTCCAACCAGAACTACTGCTTGTTCTATTTGTATTCTTTTTTTTACTTCATTTAATAGTTTTTTTTAGTATTTTTTAGCTAATGTGTATAATATTGAAGAAATTATATATTTTTTTATTTTATCGGTTATTAGTTCTTAGTTTGTATGCAATTATATATTAAATTATGTAAATAGAAATAATAAACATTCTATTTTAATTCTCATAATGATTATTTTTATGGCTTTTTCATTTACATATATGAGTATAATGACATTTTCTCATGCAATAAACGATTTATCTAGTCTTTTTTAATACGGATCTTTATGTTGAAAATAAAAAATCATAATTATATAATTTTTTAATTATAAATATTATTTATATTGTTAATTTTTTAAAAAAAATCATTTTATAGTTTTTTTTTTTTTTGGAAAATATATATTTTTATTTATAATTCATGTTTTCTTATTATTAATAACTTTTTTTTTTTTTTTTAGTCAATTTTTATTCGATTCCTATATTTATTAATCATTATATATTTAATATATTTTTTTTTTAATTATTATTAATTGCAAATAAATAGTAATTTAAATAATAATAATAAAATATTGATAAAAGAAACATAAAAAAATAAAAAATTCATATATTAATAATTTTTTTAACAAAAATATTAAAAATAATAATATATATATAATTTATAATTCTATTTATATAAAATCAAAAAGTATTATTTTATGTCAGAAACCTAATTAATAGACAATAAATAAATACTAAATTGTTAAATTTAGCAAAACCCTATTTAAGAGGATATTAATAAAACTGAAATATCAAATCCATTTACAATATTAAATGAAGAATTTTAAATTTAAGAGAATTAATTTTAAATTTTTTTAAAAAAAGAAACATTTTAAACACAAAAACAAGAAAATAATTAAGATTAAAATATAGAAGTATAAAAATAAAATAGTTTCTCTTAAGAAACAATTAAATTAGATTAATAATAATAAAAAATTTAAAATGAAAATCTTAATAATGATGAAAAAAATCAATCTTTGAAAGAAATAAAAGAACATTTAAAAAACTTATAAGATATAGAAGTAATATCTAATAGAAAATAATAAAGGTAAAATGAGAATTTATAACAGGAAAAAAATTTAATATAAAACAACGTGAATATAAAAAAGAAATAAGTGAAAAATTATTCTTATAATAAAAATGATAATATGAAATGGATATTTTTATTTATAATTATTCTAGCCTTAATAATAATCTTACTTTTAGATTTAAACAATTTAAAAATGATTGAAAATTAGAAATTTATTAATTAATAGAAAGCTTGTAAAGAAGAATTTTATGGAAACGGTTGTGAAGAAATTTTAAAAAACAAAAAATACTATTATGAATGGAAAATAGATTGTAAAAATTGGCAAATATGTATGGATGAAAATGTAGAAATTAAAATCTTAATTTTTAAAATCTTATCTTTATATGTAGCGGATATTTCTAATTAGGCGATAGAAACAATGAATAGCAGAATTATTTTCATAATTTTTATTTTTTATTTATCAGGAATATTTTTAAATTTTTTATTATCTTTTTTATGTAAAAAAAGAAAAAAAATTTGAAAAGTATTTTTGTATTCATTCTATAAATTTATAAAATGATTTTTTTAAAAACATATATATTTATAAATATTAAATTAAAAAAAAATATATATATAAAAAAAAAAAATTTAATAATATATATTATATAATATATAATAAATAAATAAAGAGAAAAAATAAAAAAATTATTAAAAATATATTTATATTTATATATATATATATATTTTTATTTTTATATATATTTAAATTCCTTTATATTTTTATTTATATAAAATTATAAATAAATAATTACTTATTTATAAAAATTACTACTTATTGTATTTATTTAATTATCAATTTAAATAAAAAATTTTATTCAATCTTATATATAAATATGAAATAAATTATCTTTTAAATTTAATAAATTAATTTTAATTGAAATAAAAATATAAGTTTTCTCAGAAGTTTATATTTATTATATAGTATTAAAAATATTTATAACATAAAAATATATAAATATATAAATATATATATTTATATATATATTTTGAATTAAATTTTAAAATCTTTTTAAATAATACAAACATAAAATAATATCAATTAATGACATATATTACAGAATATATTAATAATAATAAAGAATAAATAGATAAAAAAAATTACAATAATAATACAAGAATTTATTTTTTATAAATTATTTAAATATTTAATTTCATATTAATATTTTTAATTATGTTATATAAAATATTTTATTAAATAAAGTAATAATTGAGAATAAAAAAAAATATTATGTAAATATTTATATAATATATAAAATAAAATATATAAATGGATTATAAAAAAAATATTTATAAATATTTAATTATTTAAAATAATTATAAAGTCAAATATAATAAAAATTATCTAAAATACTTATTTTATAATAAATATAAAATTCCAATAAGCTAACATATTTTTGAAAATTAATAATAAAATAATATATAAATAAAATTAAAAAATAAAAATATATATATATATATATATATATATTATAATATTTATGTATAGGTTATTAATCTAATTATATATATAATATATAATAATAATTTTTTTTTTATTTTTTTTAATATATAATAATAAATATATTTAATATTTATAAATTATATTATAATTTTTTATTTTTATCACATATAGATTTTAATTTCATATTATTAGTTATTTTTTTATAATATAATGTAATTGTAAGATAAATATTTTTTTTTTATAATAATTACAAGTAATTATATTAAATATATAAATGATATTTTATTAATTATTTGAATTTTTTTTATATAAAAAGAAAATATCAATATATAATATAATATTTAAAATAAAAGTTTAAATAATTATAAGATGAGAATTATATTTTCATATAAAATTCTTTATTTTTAAAATGCAAATTGAAATTTCTTTTAATTTATTTAAATTTTTTATAATTTTTTTAACTTTTAAAATTCTTTATCTTAATATATAAATTTAAATCAAATAATAATAATAAATTTTTTTATTTATTATATAAATAAAAAAATTATCAGATATATATATATATATATATATATATATATATATTATTTTATTTAATTTAGTTTTTATTTTATTATAATAATAA